ATGGTGAAGACGGTGCAGGGCGGCGTGTCCGCCCCGGAGTCGGCTGTCGGGAGGAGGCCCGGCTCTGCTGCGAGCTCACCAGAGGACCGCGGGTGCATGGGCCACCCCCTTCCGGGCCTCCGTTTCCTCTTCTGCTCAGACACAGCCGGCCTCGGCACTCGGTGGTTCTGGAGGGCTCACCCCCTCTCCCTGCTTGGCCTTTGTAGGCAGTTCCAGGGCCACACGGACGGGGCCAGCTGCATAGACATCTCCCACGATGGCACCAAGCTGTGGACTGGAGGCCTGGACAACACCGTGCGTTCCTGGGACCTGCGAGAGGGCCGGCAGCTGCAGCAGCATGACTTCACTTCCCAGGTGTGTGTGCTCCTCCCCTCCCCAAGGCCAGCGTGTGCCCTTCCCTTCTGGGGTCCCACTGGCTGGGTCGGGGGACACGGGGGCCCTCACAGGTGGTCATTGCAAGTGGACCTGTGACCACCCTGAGCTACCTCGGAAGGCTTCCTGGAGGAGGCAGCAATAGACTAGAACCGACCAGGCCCTGGAGTTGGATGTACTTGACCCGACTGCTCAGAACGGATTCTCAGCAACGCTACTGTTGAGCGCTTTGGCCCCGGTGTTTTTCCTCCCTCATGGGATGGGCACGGTGGTAGCTGCCTCGCAGGTCTGGTGTGAGCACCTGAAATGGTCCCTCTAAAAGCCTTAGCCGTAGCCTGGTTCATAGAAGATACTCTGTTAATGTTAGGTAGCCTTATTTTCCATGGTTGTTTGTGTTATTTAAATATTTTAACTATATATTTAATATTTTAGTGTTTTATTCACTTTTTTTCTTAAGGAAAGGCAAAAGTCACAGGGAAACTTGTGTAACTTGGAAAGTGAAATGCTTGTGCCATCTCGGAGTTGGAATGCTGGCTTTACCGCTTACTTTCTAGAGTCAGCAACCTCTCTGAGCCTCTACTTCCTCGCCCCTGCAAGGCATTCCAGGGCTGAGGGAGAGGAGAGGGGCTTTGCCTTGCAGACGGCCCGTGGGGATGTGATGGGAGTGGGAGCGGTGGGCCCCTGCCCTCGGGGTCCCTGAGCAGGGCCTTTGAGGAGCCCCTGGGGCCCCGGGGGAAGGGTCAGGGGGACAGAGGAGCTGAGCTCGGTCTGCCGCCCCCTGCAGATCTTCTCGCTGGGCTACTGCCCCACCGGGGAGTGGCTGGCCGTGGGCATGGAGAGCAGCAACGTGGAGGTCCTACACCACACCAAGCCGGACAAGTACCAGCTGCACCTGCACGAGAGCTGCGTGCTCTCGCTCAAGTTCGCCTACTGCGGTGAGCCTGGGGGAGCCGGGAGCCGGCGCGGATGAGGGGCCCAAAGCTTGGGAGCAAGGCAGAGCCCGCACGCCAGCCACATCTTGGAATCCAGCCTCCCGATCCCGACCACTGTCTCCCCCCGCTACCCCCCCATCCCTATTCCTTGGGTGCGGATACGGCCACAGGGCGCCAAGCACGCACAGCAGCAGGCCAGAGCCAGCCCTTGCGGGCCTGGGGCAGGGGAACGGCACTCTCAGCCTTGGGGCCGTTCCTCCGCTGGCTGAGGCCTCGGGCTCTGATGGCTGACAGCCCTGGGTTGGATCTGCTTTTCCCCAGACTGGCTGCGAAACCTTGGCCACCCCGCATCCTCTCTGCACGCCAGGGGGTCTTTCTCCGGGAGTGGCCCGGGCCCCCCATGAGGCTTTAGAGAGCAATAGCACGTTAGTCCGAGCTGAGCCTGGCAGAGCAGCCTGCAAGTAAGAGCGCTTGCTGGCCACCAGCTGCGGCTGGCTGGGTCTCCAGACCTCAGGGCTCTGCCATTTCTAGCACTTTCTGCCGCCTTCTAGTCATAAAACCGAGAAGGCTCACTCCACTGATAGCTTTTTTTTTTTTTTTAGATTTTTTTTTTTTTATTTATTTGACACAGAGAGAGAGGGGGAGAGAGGGCGAGAGCAAGCACAAGCAGGGGGAGGGGCAGAGGGAGAAGCAGGCTCCCCACTGAGCAGGGAGCCTGATGTGGGGCTCGATCCCAGGACCCTGGGATCATGACCTGAGCCGAAGTCAGCCGCTTAACCAACTGAGCCACCCAGGCGCCCCTCCACTGATAGCTTTAAAAAGAATCTTTTGGGGAAGTGTCATGTCTGTGATTTACTGCAAATCCCACCGTTCTCCATCCCGGCTGCGCCCACCCCTCCCCTATGATTACAGAGAGGCGTTCTGGGCAGGGGGGCGGGGGGCAGTCTGTGAGTCAGATACAGGTCTCGCTTATGAAATGCCCCTCACCAGCCAAGCCTCTTACCTAAGCACTGGCTGGCAGACACCACATCTCCGTGGCAGCCGGCCATGTCTGGGGCGGGTCTCGCTTTCAGGGCAGCCAGCCCCAAGCTGACGCTCCTTTGCCTCCCGCCTGCAGGCAAGTGGTTCGTGAGCACTGGGAAAGACAATCTCCTCAACGCCTGGAGGACGCCGTACGGAGCCAGCATATTCCAGGTACCGCCCACCACCCGGCCGCTGCTCGGGGTTGGGGCCTGCCCCTGGGGATGGGGATGGGGATGGCCCCTTCCAGCCCCTACGTGCTGGGGATCCAGGGTGGGTTTCCCAGAGCCAAGGCCTGGGACACATCAGTGGGACACACACTGCAGCTGGTGGCGTCTGACCCATAGGGTGAGGGCTTTTAAGTGGGGGTTCTTGTGGGATTTCTAGAACAAGGGGGAGTTAAGTCATGCTCTTGGCTCTGGCCTGTGGCCTGAGCACTCCCAGGAGGTGCCCTGGGCAGCTCTTTTCAGAGCAGCGTTCCCTGATGTTCAAGTAAGTTTGTGTTTCATCTCGACACCTCAGTGTAAGGAGTGAGAGGGGGTAGGAGAGAAAGGGTCTGGAAAGAGATGGGAGAGCAGGAAGAGGCTTTTCATGGTTTTTCAAGATCTGGGTTCCGACATACAGCTCTCACTTACACATAGTCTTGACCGCACGCACGCACGCACGCACAGTATGCTCCTGTGCTCCCAGCCGACAAGCCACTTTCGGGATCCGTGCTGGGAATGGGTGGCGTCCAGCATGTCACACGTGTAACCCTCGTTACACTGGACGCTTCAGGTCGGGCGGAGGTCCCCTTCCTGGCTCCGGCCCACTGACACCCATGCCCTGCTCAGAGGTGCTCCTTCCTGTCTGTAAACCGAGGAGAAGCTCGTCCTCCAGTGCTCTCTTTCGAGCCATACGACTCCACGATCACCCTGGGCCCTGGTCATGAGCCTTTCCTGGTGGAAAAGCCGAAGGACGGGGCATCTGTCCCCGCAAGTGCCTCTCCAGGCTGCTTTGGGGGAGGCCGTGCTGGGTGCGCTTGGGGTTGGAGCTCCGGGGCCGGCAGACGGGGTGTGACGCAGACAGCGGAAATCATGCTGTGTACCAAGCAAGTGAATTTCTGCCTTTTTGCCTCCCCACACCCTCCTGCCTGTCCTCGCCTTCCCCCTGCAGTCCAAGGAATCCTCGTCTGTCTTGAGTTGTGACATTTCGGCGGATGACAAATATATTGTAACAGGCTCTGGTGACAAGAAGGCCACGGTTTATGAGGTCATCTACTAAACAAGGACTCTAACTGGGCTGTCAGACTCTGGGAGAAAAAGACTCGGCGGTGACAGGGCGACCCCGCGAGGGGCCCCGAGGCTGGCGGAGGCTGGCGGTGGGCAGCCGAGCAGTCCAGGGCTGCGCTCCGGCAGGCCGAGAGGGCGCGCCCGCCACGGTCTGGACCCCTGGGCATGGACTCCTGTGTCTCGCGGACTCTGATGGATGTCTCTCCTCCTCCCTGTCCACAACCCTGGCAGATGCTACAAGTAGATTTCTTTGGAGGCTTGGGGCTCCAGCCCCCCCGACAGACGCCCTCGTGAATCTCCATCTTTCCTTCCCCTCTCTTTTGCTCTGTCCCCCTGCCCTGGGTCGGGGACACTGGAGTGGACCAGGTGTTTGTGCTGGGGGAGGGGGGATCTCATTTTCCCGACTGTGCAGCGCACAACATTTGTGAAAAATGTAAATAACAGACTCCTCTATCTCGGACTGGTCAGTGGGGGAGGAGGCCCCTTCCCACCGAAAACGCTAGCCGTGTACTTCGCCTGCTGTATTTGTAACCCACTCGTGGTGGTGGCTTTTTTTTTTTTTTTTTTAAAGGGACATCCCCATCTGGGAAGGGGAGGCAGGGAGGGGGAGCCAAATGGAGAGGGAGTGGAGGGGCAGAGGAAGGGAGCTGCAGCTGGTGACCAGCCTGACCAGGAGGGGGGGGGGGGTCCCTGGGACGAACGCACCTCCCTGTGGACTTGGGAGCAGCCCAAGGCCTGTCGGGACCCTTGCAGGCTGCACGGGCAGCCGGGCAAGGCTTGCATGGTGGCCAGCCAGGCTGACGAAGGTCGGATTCTCTGTGGCCGCCTGCGCTCTCCTCCCTCTCTCTCAGGGGTCCGACTCTTGCTCTCCCTTTCCTTCTCGCCTCGCTCGCTCGCTCTCTCTCTTTGGTGCGCACTTGGTTATGGTGATGGGAGGTGGAGGCGCGAAGGAACTCCCATCTCTGGCCCTTCTTGATCTTCGGACACAACCTTCAAAGGACAAAAAGTTAGAGGAAAGCATAGCAACTCAGCTCAGGGAGCTACCAGAGAAAAATAGCAACTGATGTGGGTGCTTTTTTTTTTTTTTTTTTAATAAAAAGAATTAGAATTGATGTCCTTTATAAAAATGCCTTCTCCCCCTTTCCTGCCTCTGACCCCATCCTCTCTCCCTAGAGGGGAAAAGTGTAATCAACCTGCAAGGGTTGTGAGTCCGAAGGGACAGTCTCCCCCCCCGCCCACCCCGGGCAGCGCAACAGGGCTGAGGGGACCAGGGGTCGGGTGGGGACACCGGTCTTGGCACTGTGGTGACTTCTTGTGGCTTTCAGTCTCTTTGGAGCCCAAACAGGTTACAGGTAGAAAAATGGTCTCCTGCAGGTACCACTCTTTGGTACCAAAATGTTCTGAGGTATTAGGACTTGGGTTTATTGTTATTTTTTTTTTCTTTTTCTTCTTCTTGGTCTTTTTTTTTTTCTTCTTTTAAGGAAAAGCTAAAGGCCGACGTGAGTCCTGGTGGTGGGCTCTCCATGGATGTAGCATATGGAAGATAATTTTGATAACTGCATTTTTATGGATTATTTTATAATGTGTGATTCCGTCTGGTGAGAAGGGAGGAAGGGGCCCCAGTGGAAACTGCTGGTCTTCAGTGATCTTGCTCCAGGCTAGCAGCTCCCCTGACATGACCCAGAGGCCGTGGAGAGGCCACGGAGACTGGCTGGGCGCCCTGTACCTTTCTGAGGTCGGGGAGGGGCCGTCTGGAGAATTCCTCTCTTTCTCTGGGTCTTGGATGTGCATCTGCCGTGTCTTGTTAAAGGCTCTAGCCACAAGGGAGGGTGAGGGTAGAAGAAAGTTGATTCCTGAAGAAAAAAAGAAAATGAAAAGTCATTGTAATGAGCTGTTTTTATATTTTTAAAAGTTGCTATTTAAAGGTTGGTTTGACTGTTGTGTTTTATTGCCTCTACATCCCCCCCCGTTTGTCAGACCTCCCCGAAAAGAGAGGGGGACCACTGTCACCCTCATGCCCTGGATTCTGGGTGATTTCCCTGTCATCCCTAAACAGAAGCTCTTGGCATTTCAAAGCACTTCCCGTGCTGCCCCCAACCCCTAAAAGTCTGATCTCGCAGGATGGTGAGGGGGAGCGTTCTCCCTGCCTTCCCCAGGCTGCCTTCCCGTCTCCACACTGGGGAGTGGTGGGTGGGAGCCAGGATTTCCTCTGGATGCGCATGCAGGATAAAGTTCCCCGAGGGGAGGACCGAGGATTTACACCAGATTCTTACTAGACAGTCGCCCGTGCAAGACGTTTTGGCAAAAAATGAAATGCGAAGAACTTCAAGTGTAAAATGTCTATGAACATCTGGACTCTGAAAGCCTTCACCATCTTACGTCTCAAGTTAGATGTCACACGGGGGACCTCAGTCTTCGGTTCACAAAGCTGTGGGTAAAGGCGTTTGGAGGGGGGATTTTGCAGAAGGGGTAGGATAGGACGTGCTGGCCAGTACCCTCGGAGGCAGGGCTGGGCTAGGGTGCTTCCTAGGCTCTGGGATTTCCTGCACCCAGTAGAGGCCTCTCCTAAAGCTGGGGACTGACATGGTTTCCAACTCCGTATTTGGTCCAAGTCCTTCTAAATCCACTAAATCCACTGTCGTTTTACACAAAAAAGGGAATAACGACGTTTTTAAAAAGGAGAATAAAGCAGTCTGTTAGCCTAGAAAGGACAGCTGGACTGCATGCACAGAGGGATTGTCCAGCTGGAGAGGGATGTCCGCTCAGGCTTCTAGAGAAGCTTCCAGCAGGTAGAGCAGGTAGGAGGAGGAATGCCGATCTGGGGCCGCTGTGTGGCCAATAGCTTGTATTGGTTGCATGGACTTCAGTAGAACATCACACTCCTCTGTCCACGCTGATGCACTGAAGCAGAGGGATAGAGGGCCAGCTGATGGGCTCTGGCCAGAAGATTGTGCATGTGCCCAGGACCCGCCTGGGGATTGCCTACCGGTGCTAAGACAGGAGTTGGGCTTGTAAGCCTCAGGGAGAGGACAAGCAGCATGTCTATCAGAGAAGGCTCACCTACAGTCTTGCCCTGGCAGAGGTGGTTACGACCATTTCTGAGGGGGGAAACCACCTCTGGAAGGCTGTTGTACCCAGATGTCCTGGGCACAGGCAAGGATGTAGAGCCGACCGAGATCTGGTCCTAACCCCGGAGGCTCCCAGTCGAGGGTGGGGAGGCCATAGAGCCCCAAATTTGGCTCTGTCCGCGCTGCTGGCGACACATCCCAGGCCCCAGCTGCAAGCGCCTTGCCTCCCGCCTGTTGTCACCACCATTGTCCCTTACGCGGCTCGCCAAGCCTCTCCACGCAGATGGTCCCATTGCGTGCTCCCTCCTCCGCCTCTCACCCACCACTCTGCTCTGCTTCCCAGCCAGCTTGTTAGAAACTTCGAATCTCAGTCCTGCTGCCGCTGAACCTGCATTTTAACAGCCCCTCGCTGACCCCTCGGCACCTGTACGTTGGTGAGGGGCTCTTCTAGTCCAAGGCGAGGGGCCCACTCACAGCAAATGGGAAGGGAGGCCTTGATACTATTTTCGAAGTCACCCCTAACCTTACCCTGCAGAAACGCAGGCCCAGTCAGTCCTGGCGTTGGCCACATGTCACCATACCTGTCCGTCTGTCCAGCTAGACCAGCTTCCCTGGAGGGCAGCTCCCAGGACTTCAGTGGCCCCGGGGTGGTCCTGGCTTGAGATTATTCTATTTCTCTGGGAGCAGGGCATCTGGATGCTGGTAACTGAAGCCAAGAAGTGGGCTGACTTCTGGAGTTCTGTCAACTCTGCCATTGCTCAAAGCAAGGAGATCCGTTTTTAAAAATGGGGAGGGTATGGTTGCGAGAAGGCAGCTTTCATGCTTTTAGTCCACATCAGATTATGTGCAAGTGTCCAGGTCATCCCAAGCCACAGTTGACCAGGCCGCAGGCCTCCTGGCCTCTCTCTGTCCCCTTTCCCCACCCGTAAGCTGCTCAACCCCAACATGGGCAGTGACTCTCCTAGTTTTAGCATCTATGAGAAGGTACAGAGCTACAGATCCCTGGATACTGCAGCTGGACAGATCCTTAGCAAGAATGCTAAATGGTATAACCTGGCCATCAAGTATTTCATCATGATGGAGTGTACTTTTTTTTTCCAAGAATGCAGTGCTTGAAAATGAACATTATTTTTAATGTAAAGTATAGCAAACAAACATTAATATTTTAAAAATTTGCATGGTTATGCATCATTTTCTTTTTCTTATGATAACAATATAAAATGCACTCTATTCTAGTACCTGTGCAACGTTTTTAAACATTACCCTAAAATTGGACCTTTTGTGTTTGAAGAGGTCTCTCTACTGAGCTCTTAATTTTATGAATGGGACAATTAGGCCCAGAAAGGGCAGGAGACTCACCATGAGTCACCCAAATCACATCTCCCTCTCCCCTAAATCCCTAGCATACTTTCAGGGAGGGCAGGACTGATATTTGGAAGATTAGAATCCAGAGGATGAGGGCTCCTGCCCCTTCAACAGTACGGGTGAAAAAATTCTTCATGGAAAGAGGCAGCCAAGAAAAGCCATGGAAACCAGCCTCCTCCCTTGAGAACCTAGAACTCACCCATCCATCCATCCATCCATCCATCCATCCATCCATCCCCCACTCGCTCATCTTTCTATCCATCCATCCACCCATCTGTCAAACTATCCTTGTATCCACCCATCCATCCAACCAACATTTATGTAGTGAGAATTAATATGACAGGCATGGTTCTAGGTGCTGGAATGCAAAAATCAGTAAGACAATGCTTACCCATATAGAACTTTCTCAGCCAGAGGTGGGAAAGAGCTGATCCCAGGGCAGAGGAGGAGATCAGTGATCTCAAAGTGAAGAGCGCAAGCAGGAAAGTGAAAGATAAGAAGCCCCCTCCCCAACTCCATCCTTGCCCAGCTCAGGCCTTGCTCGTGTCCATTAGGTCACCATTAGTCGGGGCCCAGAAAACTCCACGGTGCGCTCACCCTGACCCCAACTCAGCTCTCTTCCAGGCAGATCAGACAGGGCAGGGTTGATGGCTCAGAAGCGGGCTCTCGGGACCTCCTGGACTGTGGAGGCTGGATGAAAGTCAGATGGGGCTGGAGCCTTTGTCTCTCCTTGATATTATAGCTGCCTGATGCAACCGTGTGCTGATAATAGGTTACATGGTTTGAAAAAAGCAGGTCTGGAATTTTCAGTGCTGGCAAATGAAACAGCAAGCTAATAAGGATTCCCTTTAACTATGTGGACACTGAGACATCGTGGATAAAATTAAACTAAAACAAATTTACTAGCTTACCTAGAAAGAAAAAGAAAGAAGAAAGGAAGGGAGGGAGGACGGAAGGGAGGAAGGAAGGAAGGTTGGAAAAATGGAAGGAAGGAAGGGAGGGAGGGGAATCCTTTAATGTCATAAATTTAAAAACTTTAAAGGCAGAGTAGGGAGGTCCCAAGCTCAGAACAAAAGCCCAAAACTACATAGAGCAAAAATTGACAAAATTACAAGGAGGAACAGGAGTCTTTGACATCCCACTAACAGAAACTGGTAGATCAAGCCAAGAGTAATTTATAAGGACATAGAAGATTTGAATAGCATAATTTGCAAGCTTGAGCCCATCAAACCCTATAACCAACTATTGAAGAGCACAGATTCTTTTCTTTTTTAAGATTTGATTTATTTGACAGAGAGAGACACAGCGAGAGAGGGAACACAAGCAGGGGGCGTGGGAGAGGGAGAAGCGGGCTTCCCGCGGAGCAGGGAGCCTGATGCGGGGCTCGATCCCAGGACCCTGGGATCATGACCTGGACCCAAGGCAGACGCTTAATGACTGAGCCACCCAGGTGCCCCAAGCACAGATTATTTTCCAGCATACCCGGAAGACTTAGTTTTACCAATCAAAGGAGCAGAGGAGGCATTTTACAAAATTCAATCCCCAGTCATGACTCTTCCTAAAGTACCAAACTAGGAATAAAAGAAAATGGCTTTAATCTGACAATGGATAGCTAAACCAGACCAGTGGCTCAATCATAGATAGTAGTTAAGTTTTAGGAGCGTTGGTTTAAAGTCAGCAAGAAAACAAGAATAATCATTATTACCACTTCTATTCAACATAGTTCTGGGGGCTCTAGCCAATGTAATAAGACAAAATAAAGGGTGCCTGGGTGGCTCAGTTGGTTAAGCGACTGCCTTCGGCTCAGGTCATGATCCCGGAGTCCCGGGATCGAGTCCCGCATCGGGCTCCCTGCTCGGCGAGGAGCCTGCTTCTCCCTCTGACCCTCCCCCCTCTCATGTGCTCTCTGTCTCTCTCATTCTCTCTGTCTCAAATAAATAAATAAAATCTTTAAAAAAAAAAAGACAAAATAAAAGAATAAACAAGGTACAATGAGTGAAATGAAAAAAAAAGTTGTAATTATTTGTTGCAGATAATATGACTGTATACATAGAAAATATATAAGCAATTAAAACAAATAAGAGAGTTTAGTCAAGTTGCTGGATCCAAGATCAACATTCATTAATCAATAGCTTTCCTATTCATAAGCAATAACCAATTAGAAGAATGTAATATAAAGAAAAAAATGCATTTACAGTAGCAAGAAAACTTATCCATGAACTGATCTTAGCAAAGCTATACAAGACCTTTATGAAGAAAAATATAAAATTTTATTGAAGGAAATATTTTTGAAAAGACCTACATGGATCCTACATTATACCATATTCATTGATGAGAAAATCCAATTTTATTTCAAATGCTGTCTTTTCCAGAAACCTGTAATGGAATGTTAAACAAAATCCAACTAGGATGTTTTCTAT